TCTCTCACATAGTTTTTTGATTTTTCCTTAGAAAGTCCATCTGCTTCCAATATCCATCTGTTCTTGCAGGCTGTCTGCTTTTTCTAATAACGCTGGGACCACTTAGCATGTTAATCACGGTGGTGGCGGCGTGGTGGGTGCCGTTGAGTCAGTCCTGACTCACAGGAACCCTGTGTACAGCAGAACGACACACTGACCAGTGACGTTTGAGGTCGCTGCTACTGCTGCTACTGGGCCAGTCCATCTGGTTGGGGGCTCTTCCTCTTTTTCGCTGACTCTCCACTTGACCGAGCATGATGTCCTTCTCCATCATGGGACTGGTACCTCCTGATAGATAACATGTCCAAAGTACAGGAGACAGAGTCTCCCCATATTAGTCATGATTTTTAAAACCCACCTAAACCCAAGGAGCTCTGGTAGCGTAGTGGTTACGAATCGGGCTGCGAACCTTAAGGTCAGCGGTTCGAAACTACCAGCCGCTCCGCGGGAGAAAGATGAGGCTTTCTACTCCCGTAAAGATTTACACCCTCGGAAACCCTGTACAGGGTCGCTATGGGTCGGACCCGACTCGATGGCACTTAACAACTTAACAACAACAAACCCATGTGCACTAAGTGGGTCTGACTCTTAGCGACCCTGTGAGGGCCTCCTGAGACTGGTAACCTGTCCAGGAACAGCCAGCCTCAGCTTTGTCCCTCAGAGCAGCTTGTGAGTTAGAACTGCCCACCTTGTGGTCAGCAGCCACCGCACTGGGCATTTTAAATTCTTAGTCTCTGTCTCTTCAGACTGTTCTGTGGGGTTGCTGGTTTGTTGGTTTGGTTTTGGCTGTTTGCATGCCTGGTGACTTACTGTTGCAGGCCAGATGTGGTATATTGGGTGAAAGTTGTAATGCGCCGATTACGTGTGGGATGGATGTGGTGTTGGGAGCAGAGAGACACCCTGGGAACCTGTGGCTGGGGCTCAGCTTGTTTTCCCCTCTCCTCAGTGAACAGCTGGACTTGCTTGTCCCTTCTCCCACATTAAGGGCCAGAGGTGCTAGGGCACCGGCGCTGCGTGAACAGACGGTCCGTGCTCACTGCCCATCTCTAGAGAGCAGTTTCATGCTTACAGCACATTAGAGATGCTGCTGATAAGGCAGGGTCTGTCTCTCTCCCAACCCCACAGAACCTTCGTGTAGGATCAGATGTGTGGTCCTTGTCAGGACCAAGTGCCCAGTTGGCAAGGTAAGCACCGCTTTATTGGGTAATCCATCCCATGGAACGCTCAAGTTGCTTGCGTATGTTCCTTCCTCCACATCAATTCCAAAACCCACAGCCACTAAGTCGATCCCAACTGGTAACGACCCTGTATAGGGTGAACCTTGATAGGAGCAGACAGCCTCGTCTGTGTCCTGTGGAGAGCTACTGGGTTTGAACGGCTGGGCTCAGAGTAAAGCAACATTGGTTTGTCTTGGGTAAAGTCTTCCTTTGAGGACAGTCCGCTGTTAAAACAGAGCGGGGGTTTCCCTCTCCCCACTGCTGCTGATGGGTTCTCGAGCTGCACAGGTTTGAGACCCCCACAGGATTGTCTACCTGTTGGGGTCATGGACTCCTGGGGAGTACAGAGGGACAGGCAGTGGACCTGAGCCCAGAGCCTGAGTGTGGCCCACCACATCCCTGAGACCACCAGCCTGCTCATGCAGACTGCCCAGGTCAGGGGGGCCGGAGAGAGGCAGAGACGCGTGTGCCAGGCCTTGGTGCCCACACCACTCAGAACTGGCATGCTGGCCAAGTTTCCTGCCCAATGTAGGATTTGAGCAGCTACAGCTATTTGGAGTAGGGTCACCATGGCGTCTGTGTGCCCAGATCCCACAAGAAAGCGTGACGGCATCACGAACCGCATCTTTCCATTTAGTTGGGAAGATGGGAGTCATCTTCACGGCTCCTTGTCATGAACACTGGACCAATTTGTAGTGTCTAGTTATGACAGATATTCTTAGCTGCTCCCCATCCATCCAGGGCTTAATTTTAGATCCTCCCCTCAGCTGCTTCTAATGAACATAAAAATGTACGAATGTTTGCAAAGGAGTCTGCGCAGGAACCCGAGGAAGATGGCAGCTGTGAGGCGGTGTACTGTAAATCTAACAGCTGCCGGGAAAGACTTGTCAGACTCCCAGTGCCGAGAGATGAGCAAACTTCCATCCTGCCTGACGGGACCCAGTCAGTTGGCAGCACCTTCCAAAGCGCCTTTTGTGGCATCTTGATGGACTGTGAGTCCCAGCTGGGTGACAGGTGGTCAGGTGCACTAGAAGACGTAATGAATGGCTGTCGTCTGTACGTTGGCTGTTGTTACCTGTCCTCCTGCAGGTGGACACCACAGAGACAGAACTGGCCCTGACACTGAAGAATGACCGAGCACGCCAGCTGGTCATTTAGGAGGTGAGAGGTCCACAACAGACAGGGCAGCGGACACTCCTGCAGGCTTCTCCTTGGGCCCAACCCGGGACACAAGCTTAGATGCTGTGTGGTTGGGAGCGTATCAAGTTCTCTGGAGCGACAGCTTGGCTCCTGGCTATTCCGTTGAGAAAGGAGTCCTGGTGGCACAAATGTGGGACTGCTAATCACAAGGTCGGTGGTTCAAACCCCCCCCCCAGCCACTCCTTGGGGAAACTCAGAGGCTGTCTGTACCCATAAAGATTTACAGTCCCGGAAACCACAGGGAATGGTTCTGCTTAGTCCTGTAAGGTTGTTCCCAGGAGGAATTACTGACTTACAGCAGAGGGCAGGGGATTCAAGTCAGGACCCCTGGGCTGAAAGACACTCTGCTCCCGTGAAGATTTACAGCCTCAGAAACTCTGTGAGGCAGGCCTCCTCTGTCCTGTAGGGTCATTATAGGGTCGGAACCGACCCAAGGGCATCTGGTTGGTTTTGAAACGTGACCTCAAAAAGAGTTCTTAAAAGAAATAGACAAAGGACCCAGAGTAACCAAAATAATTTTTAAAAGGGCAGAGTTTCCAGTCCCACTACACTGTTTAAAAACTTACTGGAAAAGTTTATAATAAGCAAGGTAGTGTGGTTTAGCAGACAAGCAGGTAACCAGGCCGTTGGAATGGAGCCTAGGAATAGTCCCACATTGAGATTGTAGTCAAGAACACCACGGGGGACAAAGGCCCCTGATCCTTCAGCAGACAAAGGCAGCGCTGCTTACAGACAAAAGCACT